TTAAAAATTAATATTTAATTAAAAGGCGTCTTAGGCAAACTGGAAAAATCCAAATTTTTCAGGACTCAGTCAGTCACGAAGCAGCATCTTCTAACTATATTCTTACACAACACTCTAGGGCAAAGGCCTAATGAATTTCTAACAGAGGAGCAGGGCTTAGTCTGGATCAGTTCTAAGGTTAAATATTAACCTGGAGCAGATATGTTTTATTTCACCATGTAGGTCTGAACCAGTGTGAACATCTTCTTGTGTTTTCAGGTTTGATCTTGGGTAGACAGAAACACCATCATGCTGGGACAATGTGTGACTACAATACATCAGCTCGTGGGAATGAAGATGAAACCATGCTTCAATTTACACAGGAAACTGACAAGTTTGCATCGTGCAGAGGGTAAGAAAGAACATTGTTAGTTCTTTGTTGCATTTTTCAGATCAGGTACTAGAGGAGCTCGTTTCTCAGTTAAGCAGTAAATTCAACTTTCACCCAGAGTGAATCTGCCTCTGCTTCAAGGTTACTGCCTGAAGCTCTGATTGTGACATACAGAGTGTGACTACCTGTATTTCACAAATATTTTTAGATATATTTTAAGGTTTTGAGATATTAAGAAAAAGGCAGTACTTATCTATAGGTGTATTCCTGAACTTGCCCGTGACCATTTAATTGATATGCTGCAGATGCACAGGCAGATATTACAGTGATTCACTACCCTCACAGGGGTCATGAAATATTTTGTGATCTCGCCAGATAATTGTAGAGAATAAGTAAACATTTTTACAAGTGGGAGAGAACCACTATATTATTTTTTCTTTTGCAGACCTTGTAAGGTGTCTATCTCACTATGTAAAGTGCCTTAAGATAGTATATGATGTGATTTGATGCTATACTAATAACATTGAATGGAATTTAATTGCAGAAAATGTCCATGTGTTCTTTCATTGCTTTAGTGGAGTCACAATATATAACCAGTGAGTTTGTAACCAATGGGATAAAACTGCCATTACAAAAAAATAAAACTGTGAAATCACGTCATTTATTTCATCAACAAAATGTCAGAAATCTTTATCAGCCTTTGACATTAAAGACTTGAAATATACTGTCATTTATAGTAATACTAAGAGTTTATTCTTCTGTCTCTTATACTTGCAGGTGCAGTACGGTGGAGGAGCAGTTGTAGACCAGCCCCTCTGTTGACAGCTGCTCCTGTCCGTGCTCTCATAGATGAACAGATCAGCATTAAAGGACACTTCCTGCCCCCGAGCAGTCCAGTTACAGTGTGTGCACGAATGCACAGTGAGGATGGTGACCTGTGGGAGGCCTTCGCACATTATAATACAAATACCGATGGCACTGTCAACTGTGAGTCACACTGAGTTTCGACTAAGTACCGCACATATCCCTGTTGGATTGTATATAATGTTTTTGTGACAGTTTAACACATCATCATACTTGTATAATAACAAAACACCACAAATAATGTGAGGTAAATTTCATGTGGTCAGTTGAGCCATATGTTCTTAACTCCTCTTTTACAAAACATACACAGTAAATAGACTGAACTAGACTTCTACTTTTATTGAGCCTCTCCCCTCTCTCTCTTCATCTTATAGTGACCAGGGATCATTCTGTTGGGGGTTCATATGTGGGCTGTGAATCAATGGGACTCTTCTGGGGACTGCAGCCGTCTCCTGGAGCACGAGAAGGTTTGAGGCAAGTGATAAAAGCACAAGATGTAATATTTAGTATAATATATGATATAGTTTAATAGTATAATATCACGAACTGACTTTTCAGTGCTTGACCTAGCTACAGCCGCTGACTTACAGAAATAACTCTATCTATCTAATTTCCGATTGTAGTAGACTTCTGATTCATTTTAAAATCACTTCTCTCCAGTCAGTATTCTTGTTCAGTGAATTGTTGTGTTGAGCACACCATCAAATTAACCTGCTTGATGTTGTCTCTATAAATGGTTTGGGGTCAATAAGAGGTTCATGTGTAAGTGCTGCTCTTTCCACAGATTGCGGAAAAAAAACGTAGCTACTCCATACATCACGYACATTTCAGTACTGGATGGGCATGTGTCAGCCAGTGAGACACAGGGTGCTGAGCTGGCAGTTGTAACTGCTGAGCGCTGGTTCATGGCACCAGGTGTAAGAAGAATAGAGATTCGTCAAAACGCACTTGTAGGGACGTTATTCTTGCCCCCTGGTGAGTCCATGATTTGACACCTACTCTATAAAGCCATCTATAAGATAGACATGAAAAGGTAACTGTCTCCTGAACAGCGTCTACTCTACTGATCTCTTGCAGGTCCAGGTCCATTTCCAGCCATGTTGGACCTGTGGGGAATGGGTGGAGGACTGGTGGAGTACCGCTCTGCTCTGTTTGCTTCCAGAGGCTACGCCAGCTTGTCTCTTGCCTACATAGGGCACAAAGAATTACCTGGCCCACAGAACTGCATCAATGTTGATGATTCATATTTCAAGGTAGGATAAGATTCAGACTATTGTATCTCTGCATTATATATTCCATCCATCCATCCACATCTATACTGCTTATCCTTTGAGAGTTTCAGAATGACATTGGACAAGAGGCGGGGGCAGGTCACTAGCATATTGCAGGGACACAGACAGACCCTGGCCAGTCATTGAGTTGGAACCCAGAACCTTCTTGCACCAACGTGCCACCACATTGTACCCATTTTGCTTAAAAAACTCAAAATATCCCATAATTCTGTTTGAACAGTCAGCCTTCCACCTGCTGCAAGATCATCCTCAGATCTGTGCCGACAGAGTTGGGATCATCGGTCTGTCATTTGGAGTCTACCTGGCTCTTCGAACTGCCACTCAGACTGATGTCAAAGTACGTCAGTGTCATTTATTTCTTAAATTACAGTTTGATCAGTTCAGAGCTGCATGTACATGAAATTGAACAAAAATGCATTTACTCATTGTTTAGCTTTATGAAGGTAATTTTGATTTTTTTATATTCTTCTCTACAGCCGTCCTGTTTGATTTGTATCAACGGACCAGTAGGAAGTGTCATGAAACTCCCTGATGCAGATGGCAGGACTGAATACCTTGAAAGGTAAACTGTAATTACCATTGAGATGTAGAATCATATGTCTATTATAAGTCTGTAGCCTCACATACTGGTTAGGGTATTATTGGTTTATTGATAGAAATCAAGCAAAAATTGGTTTTCTGGTATATTAAATGGATTTTAGTGAAATGTGAACTGTACTGCTGAATCCTCAGGAGGATATGTGTCATTGACTTTACTTTCAAAATGTAATGTTGACTTAAAGGTAGGGTTGTTAAGTTGCTCCTGAAACAATTTTTATCTTATTTGTTGAAATAGTTTTCTTGTCCCAATAGCCATCAATAAATAAAGTTATTTAAAATAAAAAAAGCTGTTGTCTTGGGCCCTCACAGGATCGATCATTTCATTCAGACTAAGTTTGATTCACAACTTTATGAGATACATGTTTAAACCTGCTACACACGTAGCACATGTAATGTGACATGCACAGCCAGGACATCAGGGATAAAGTGACCAGAACGATCCAGATCCATGATAGATGAGACACACACACACACACACACACACACACTCCGGCAGACAGAAGACAAGTTCTTCCCGCAGATTATGACGCAGCGCAGTGTTTTAAGTTCTTGCAGAAGAAGCGACGCCCTGTTTATCCAGGAACATAGATATGAATTCAGCAGGTTTTAATGATAAAAGTGTGAGTGATTAGAATATATCAGAGGAGCAGAGTGACTTGTTGACCTCTGCAGTAATGTGCCTCAGTGCAGTGGCGCTGCCAAGGGGGGACCAGGCGGGGGGAGGTGTTGACTTCTGAATCGTAATCGAATTGGAGGCTAGCAAGATGCACACCTTATGTAGAGCTTTTTTCTCTCTGTACTCATCTTTTAGTGACCACACATATTGGACGATCAATGATCAAGGCTTTCTCACTTTCAAAGAGGTCTCCTTGCCTGCTAATCTTTATCCTGGGAGCATTGTGAAGGTGATGTGAAAACACGAAAGAGCCACCTGCAAGCACACACACATTATCAAACATGCACATGCAACATATATAATATGCTTTATATATAGTCTTTGGGTTTTGGTTCACCTTTTACTGATACAATTAAGGAATTTTATAAAAAATCCAACAGCTATAGTACTCAGGTTCTGTTTTTGAGATCATCATATTTCATTCTTTGCTGGTGAAGCATGATTGTATATTGACAACCCACTAGTCACAAGTACGAACAGGTCGGCAGTTTGTACTACACAAGCTTCAAACTTTATAACTGGACCTTTCACCTATTCTATCCTGGTTTCACTTCACTTTAATGGTTGGTGAGCTTATTCCTCCTTGTTGATTTTCTGTATTCAAACATTCCCACCTCTCAATGTTGTCACACATACGACTCTAATGTTTCACACTTCATTGGTCACCTGGATCCAAGGATGTGGTGGGTGGTGTCCCTTTTTTCCTGTGTTTCTTATTTTTTGTATATTTTTCCTTTTTTGTATGTTTGTGTTTCTGTAACACAACAGAAAAACAATGGCTAAAAAAGCAATGTGCTGTATGTCAATTCTGTTAACTCCAGAGTTCTGTCTTTGCAGATAGAGAACCTCACCTGCCCATTAATGTACATAGAGGGAGAAGATGACCTGAATGCTGCGAGCAGGGAGAATGCAAATCTGGTAGATTGTTTCCATTTTTTAAATTTCTCTATAGTAATTGGAAAACCTTATTTTTTGATAACATTGATTAATTGGTCTCCAGATCGAGGAAACCCTGAGGGCCACAGATAAATCTCACCTGTTCACTCATTTGTTGTACCCCGGTGCTGGTCACTTGATTGAACTGCCTTACTCTCCAAATTCAAGAACTTCCCTGATGAGAGTCAATTCAGAAATATGTGAGTCCTGTCCAATAGTTGCATTTTTTATTCTTCCAGATTCTGAACTTGTCATCTTTGCATTTTAGCATCAGGCCTTTGATTAAAATGTGTGAGCTGTAATGGAAAGTAATAATAACTGTACTTCTGTAATTTTTCTTCACCTACAGTAGTCGCAGTATGGGGAGGTCAACCTGCACTTCATGCAGCAGCACAGGAACACTCCTGGAAGAAGATCCTAGATTTTTTGGAAAACAATCTGAGACGATGAATCTGTGATGAAGGGGACTTTTGAGATTAAAAAAAATACATCCTCATGTATGTGAGTGTGAAATACTGCATTTCATTTAGCTGGGAGAATTTTGCATTTAGAAAAGTGGAACATTCAGGATCTTTTTACACATATGCTGTCCTATAATACAGTCACTTAAAAAGAAAAAATGCAACCGTAGAGAGGGTTTACATTTTACAGTAAAAAAAAATAAATCAGGATTTTCACCCAATGTGTAGAGCTGGTGTATTTATTTCTAAAACTTATATATTTTCCCTATTTTCTGTTAAATACATTTTACTTTACCCTTGATCAAGAAGAGATCTTTTCCATCACATATACCCCCTCTCCCATTCCGTGTGCCAAAGTTTCCTTGGGCAAGATACTGAACCCCAAATTGCCCCTGATGGAAGAACCGGCAGTGTGTGATTGATGAAGTGCTCCACATTGATGCACTGTACCAGTGTGTGTGAGTGGGTGGATGGCAAAACTGTACAGTGGTCTTCAAGACTGGACAAGACCATTTACCATTGTCCTTGTCTTGTGATGAAGGCATTTCATTTTACAGCTCTTAAGTCAGATAGGTTCTGATTGTTCTCACAACGAAAATAGCGAAGAGTTATCATTTGTAAAGACTAATCTTATTTATTATTTTAATCAATATCACTTAGTTGTGCATTCATCCATCAATTCCTCCATTCATTATTGACAGGAAGACAGAGAGAAAGTGAAACTCACGTTTACTGCAAGACCTGGAGACCTTTATTTTGAAATCAGTTCTGACACGGTGTCATGTCTTTCCACAGTGAGGACTGTTATTTCCACTTAGAGACGTCGACCGCTGCTCAGGTCGTGTTCTAACAGACTAATACAAAGACAGGATAAGTACACTGGAGATAAAAACATGAATCACTACGTTCTCACCTTTTATACACAGTCTATGGTTTTCACCCTCTTGTTGCTCCGCCAGTATTTCAACACGTCATCTGACTAGTTCGTCCTCTTCTTCCTGCCTGTCCTCGTAGAAGTTCGTGTCAGAACGAGCTCTTCAGCGGGACGTGGCCCTCGCACTCAGCAGGGCTGCTGGTGGTAAGCTCCCTCTGTGAACACGACCCGCCGGCTGCCTGGAGTTTCACACAGACGAATATGAGCTCTGCGCTTGAGCTCTTTTAGCCCACCCCTGCCATGGTCATTGACATGAGATGAGCAACTTTTACTTTCATTCAGAACTTCATTCAACTATGGTAAATGTGTCTGTAGATTCATTTTAGTAACACACACAATAACCATAGACTCAGTGATAACACAGGTTTATGAGTTTTGCAATGTGACAGTTCCCTTCAGCATTTTAACCTTCCAGCAGAAACAGCTGGCCCTGTCTACTTATCACACCATTTACTACATTCTTTGGATTGAAACAGTATTTGTATTTTTGAGAAAGGTGTGTTAATACACCCATAGGTTTAGCCTTTATTCAATTCAGTTTTATTTGTATAGTGCCAATTTATAACATACATTATCTCAATACACTTTACACAGTAAGGTGGAGACCTTCAAATTATAGAGAAACCCAGCAGTTCCCTCAATGTTTAAGCATGAGAAATAACTCCCTCATTAACTGGAAGAAACTTCCAGCAGAACCAGTATCAACCGGTTGGGGTGAGAAGAGAAAAATGAGAAAGAGAGGTGAGAGTGAGGAGAGAGAGACCAGTAAAAGTTGTGTAACCACCATTTAAGCTGCATCAGACTGGTTGTTATAATGAAAATAATTAGGGTGATATTTACAGATTTAGGGATGTTATTAACGATAGCAGCAACAGATAATAATAATTTGATATATATTGTAGCACTTACTTTGGTCAAGCACAAATAAAGTACAAATAATAGAAATAGAATAGAAATTTTAGAGGACTTTATTTTTGAAATTCAACATGAGAAATTAAAAAATTCTCAAATTGATCACATGTAATTAAGATCACATTGTTCACTTAAAGACAGAACTTAAATAGAATATGTGTGTAGATTTGTTTTTGTAAAGTACTGGATGATAACTCGGGTATCTGCGATGTGTTTAGTAATATGCTCCACACCTACAGAAGAGAGAATTAGATTATATCCAGTAAGAAATCCTTTAGGCCAAAATGAATAGGTTGCACGGGTTACATACATTATGTTATATGGTGATGATGGTAAGAGTTTTATTGTGCATCTCTAGTGTTGACCACTCAAACCTATTTACATTGCAGTTTTTTCATTCATCCAATCACATAATGACTCAGTCATATCTTGGTTGTTCTCACAGTGAAATTCTATTCATCTAGACATCGATACATATGTCCTGCAACCCTTTTATATATAAATACATGTACCCCTGCTTATTCATAAAAAGAAAAGTAAGCTATGTTCGATTCCTGTCAGCCAGAACAGAAATCTGAGGTTGCACCAAAAGTGGACAATTGAAGAGAGGAAAAAGGGACGCCTGGTCTGATGAGTCTGGATTTGTGCTGAGCTACACAGATGGTTGGGCTCAGAATTTGGCATCAACAGCATGAATTCATGGACACAACCTGCTGTGTGTCAAAAGTCCAGGCTGCTGGTAGTGCAATGATGTGAGGGAAGATTATTTTAGGTTCACTTTAAACCCATTAGTACCAATCAGTCACTGTTTAAATTCCACAGCCCCTGTGACTATAGTTACTGACCATTTTTTTTCTTCTTAAGGCAACTTCAGCACTTCACTAAGTCACCCCAAGGTGCTGTCGTGAATTTGACAAAGTGTTCAATTGATCTAGTGTTTGTCATTCTCTGCTCATAAAGAAGAGTTTAAAAACCACAACCTTCACTCAGGAGCAAAAAATCATTAAACTTAAAAGAATATGGTATTTATCATGATATTTATCAATGCTGACTAATATAAAAATGTAAAATCTTAAAACAATTGTCTATACTTCAGTGGCCTCCCCAGTGTTGATTGCTCTGCATCCAGTATCAAACCGTTTGGGCGTTGCAGATGAGGATATTCATATCTTGAATTTTTGCCTTTCAAATCGGCAGGAATGATGTTGTGAAGTCATGACGACATGGAGCAGAATCTAAAAGGAATATTTCACACATCTTGTTGAATCCATGCTACAATGAACTGAGCTCCACCCTGTGTTCGCAAGGTGTAACTGAAGTGTTTGTGCATTTAACAGTATAACAGGTCTAGTGTAAGTACATTTAAATGCTCTACTTAAGTACCGTTTTGAGATACTTATATGAAAAGCTTAANAAAAACATAAAATCAAATCAAGATTATTATAGGCAGCAATGATGACTATATAGGGCATTGTACTAGCTGTATGCTTCTAACCCTGAATGGACCTGAAAATTGGTGACGTTGTTTGACCTGGCTCAATTGAAACCCTTTAGAAAAAACACATTGAGAGACTGAATGCCATAGACGTTTTTAATTTTATGATATGGTTTGACAATCATAACTGAAGAACACAAATAAATAACTGCACAGCAATTATTGTCAGGAGTTGTACAAGTATGCAAAGTCTCTTGGTTGAGAGGTGAGACGTCTTCAAGAAACAACATACGCGTGTCCAGTTTTTCACACTTACAGCTCCGGGATGGATGACTGAGAATCCTCAGATATGCACAGCAGCCACGTCCTTTAAATAGCTTATTATTAGAGCAGCCACAGTTGATATTAAAGACAGTAACATAATTGCTGTCACTTAAAATATCTGGAAAAAAACTTGCAGAATTATGTGAGTGAAACTAAAATATTTGATGTGGTATTGGATCAGTGCATAGATTTGCATACTGTATATTTATCTATTTTTCTCTATTTTAGCATGCAACAACCTGCCTTCCAAGTCAAAATCTACTCAGATGTCATCTTAATGGGCATTCATTATTCACTCCCACTTAAAGAATGCAGACACTGCTCCTATGTTCCTCATTGTGTTGTGAGATATTAGTGTACATGCTAATCAGTTCTGTTGACTTGGGATAAAGAGCTCATGGCATGCTGAGGTCACCATGGAGATGAGGGTGATGAACTCTTTGAAGTCAATCTCCAGGTCTCCGTTCTGGTCGAGGTCCGCAAAGAGCTCATCCAGGGTCTCATTCTCCTGGATTTTCTGTTGAGCAGAAAAACTGAATCAAAATAAATCCTAAAAGTCTATAAGACAGTGATGTTATGAGGCTGAAATTACAGAAAACAAAAATTGATAGATTGAATGAAAGATTTACAGTTTGGCCGGAGAGTGTAGAGGAATGTTGTAAGTTAATTCTCTGCACATTAACTGCATATCACATTTACATGTTTGTATCCTATGTTTCTTTGAAGTTCAGTAATTGTCTTTGATCAAAATGATTATTAAAATTAAAACTACATGAATCATCTAGTTATATTTCATAATTGTTCCAGATTTCCAGTCTAATCATTAGAGTTGTCATTATGTTTAACAACCAACCAATCAAAATCAGTCATCAATAGATTACCAGCGTATAGCTTTTTGTAACATATCAAGCATCTTGATTGCAATACACTGTAGTCTCTGAGAAGACATGAAAAAAGCTGAGTTCTTAAGTTGTGAGTAATATCAAGTCTTATACAGTGCTGTTAAAAACATGCTGCTAATTGTAAATCCATAACGTACCATTATGAAATGACTCATCTCATTGTTGATGAGTTCTTTAAGCTCAGCTTTTTTCAGATTGCACTTGTGACCCGAGTATTTGTGGAAAACTCGGATGATACTGGCCATGCTACTCTCCAGCTCTGACATCGTCTCCTTTGAAGCCTGCAACAGACAGGATGACAACATGACACAGACGAGTATTTTACTCTCACATCTTAGTTTTGTACATAAAATGCATTGTCCCATATGCACTGGTAACCTATTATTATCTATAAACTACTATCAATAAATCTATGAAAATAAACATTGATTGTTTCTTACCATCATCTGAAGAAACGTGTCTGTCTTGTAAGGATCCTAACTGAGACAAGCAGCTTATCCAGCAGTATGTTGACTGCCTCACCCAGTTCCCTGTCCAGACTAAAATGTATTGATCAACCACTTCCACTTACATCTACCATGCGCTATGTAATGTATGACTAATGGATATTAGTGGTCAGAGATTTGACCAAAAACCATTTGCTTTGAAATGTCACTTGACTCAGGTTTCAACATTTCTCCACAGTCATTTCCTGTCACAAACAGATTTTGAGTCCCGCAAACTTTAGCATCATGTCCACAATAGTCTGTGCACAGTTAGTTAACAACTGTAATAACACTCACGGTTATAGGTAACTAAAATGAAGTCCCTGACAGAAAAGTGCTGACAGAGTGAAATGTTTGCATCAGATGTACTTTCATCATCGACATTGCTATTGGCTCAGCATGTAAAGTAATGTATGTAAACTCTGCATAAGAAATTAAAGGTTGTGAATGTGTACTTATAGAAAACATTTCAAAACCTTCAACATTTCTATTGAAAGGAACGTATAAAAATGTTTTTCTAAGTACATTTCAGATACTACCAACATGATAGCATTAACACTATTACTGTTAGGGACTAAAAATACATATAATTGTGAAGCTACAAATATATTTTTTTGCCCTTTTAGGTTGTAAAGCATCTAGAAGCACCTTTAATTAGAACCCATACAAAACAAGATAATTTACATAATTTATTACAGAAGACATTTGGCTTGTGTCATGCCTTTAATGGCCTTTAAAATTGCTAAAAGCACTCATCAGTGTGTTTGTGGTGTAGCTGTTTGTGGAAGAGAGATTGTGGTTGGTTTCCTGAAAGGATCCTACACTATTAAAGAGTTCTAAAGTACGCTCCCTGGAGTCGAGACACGTCGACTCAGCTTTTCAGACAACAATACATTTCAGAAAATAAAGGGTTCACCATCAATATACAACATTTTGGAAAGCACGACATATCAGAAAACACAATTAAAAAGAAACACATTTCAGAAAACAAAAAAATGTTTTATTATTTATTTATATTTTACAATATATAAGCCAATCAGGCAGCTGCTTAGGACCCCACAGCCCCCAGGGAGGCCCCATAGTCACACATCTTTCACTTTAGGGTGGCCAATGTGTTGTTTGCTACTGAGACTATAGGGCCACAAGTGAAGACCATCACGTATGTCTGATCCAAAATTGGCAGCAATGACATTAGTATGTATACAATACAGGGGCCCCTGGCATAGGCAAATTTGCGGGTTGGACAATAAAAATAATGATATTAGTTAATGTAATATTTACTAAGTGAAGAATATCTCAACAAAGTATTTGTTCTTTAAAAGTGTACTTTTAAAAAATTGTTCATGGGTCCTGCCTGTTAGTAAGGCCTTTTTTAAAGTGACACATTAGTTTTCTACATCAAATGTGTGTACATGAAGATTTAAACAATGAATGACTTTATGCATGATTCAATTGTTATGATGAAGACAATCATTTTAACTATTTGGCTTCAGATGAATAATAGTTGTATGAGCAATTAAAAGCTGCTCTTTCAGGTCCCCCACACTAATCCTGCCCAGGGCCCCAGATGTACAGTTCCAGCCCTGCATTTAGAGGGTGTATACCCATGCTGTATACTGACACAAGATATGAGAGGAAGTGAATAGCATTGGTTATAAAGAATACATGAGGAGTCTGAAGTTCTAATTAGCACTAGAACAGACCTCATTCTCCTTATTTCTCTCCTTTATATTTATCAGTCAATGACATTTATATTATACATCCTTTTTTTGACATTTTATCTAACTAATTTTTACTTATCTGCATGTATGTTTATTTAACTGTGCCGTCACTTCAGCTGTTGTGTTGCTGTTTGTGTGTTGAGCACATATCTGCAATGAAAAAAACACAAGTGCATGCCTGACAGAATGAGGTTATTTGTCAGAAAGTCTGAATTTCCTGTCCTTGACGAGTGCTGCAGCTACCATGCTTTAGGTAGCAGAAGCCGCTTCCTGAACGCACCATGGCGGCTCCACTTCCTGTTGACCGCTCCCTGTGGAACACACCGTGCGCTCCCCGGTGACGCAACCGGCGGGACCTTGTGTGTGTCGGCCGTGTTGTGCAGCCCCTCCCCCGCGTAGGAAACGCGCACTGACGTAGAGAAACCAGCGCAGACTGATCCGTGGTTTCAACTAAAATCCCCGATACCTCCGGCTGTTCGCAGAAACCTAACGCCCTGCCCCGGTCCCGCCGCGTCAAACTACCCCTCTGAGGCGACTGCAGGGCGGCGAGCAGAGACACAGCTAGCGGGAGGCACAGAGTAGACGCGGTGTTCGGTGAGATCGTCACTTTTCTCTCAGACGCTGACATTCCTTTGCTGCGCGGTGTATCCTCATGCTAAGCTAAACATCTGGGACGTCACGAGCAGTAGGAGCACATCTGGCTGCAGTCAAGGGACCACAGTTTAATCATCTGTGTTAAAAGTCTATTTATTTCATTGAGGCCCGTCTTTCCCACAGACACTGAAGTATTCCTACTCTTTTATTTCTGATTTTTGGTGTTTTCTCCTTCTCTCATTATTTCCCTCACACTTGTGTTTCTGAGTTTAGCACACTCTCTGGACTTTGCAGTGTTTTATGGATGCACCATTTGACTATAGCAGAGATACTGTGTGGTTTACATATGCAAAGATCTAAAAACCACATCCCTCCCCCACGCTCTTGTTTTTTTTCAAGATATGTCCTGTTTTCATTTTGAGGCTATAATTAACTCAGTGTGTGATGACCTGCCTCGTCTTTTTTTCACTCCACCACAGGAGCAGTTTTTGACTAAACCCTCACGTAGAGTTCAAAAATTATATCAAGATTAAAAAAGTTAGCTGTCAGTCTTTGGATTATTAGCAGGACAAATGTCACATTATTGTTTCTTATAATTTTAAAGACTGTTTTTTGCTCCTGGCTGAAGGTTGCTGTCTGTGAATTTGTTACTTATACACCTCTTAATACATCTTTTAATAATAATAATTAAAACTGTGAAGAGCTTTGAGTGGTCATCAAGACTAGAAACAGTAAAATACAGACCATGTAATATTGTGTGTGGCTTAAATTATACCTGACTGAAATTATGTTAATACCAGAGACAGGGTGGCAACTCTAAACACAAAAATAAAACATCTAATCAGTGGCGTGCCTGCAAAGACCTGATACCTCTCAGGTCAAACATATGTTTTGGTCAGGCATCACAATGTTAAAGGTATTAAATGGTGTTATAGTTGTTGTTTTAAACTCTTTTTCATGAACACAGAACAAAAAACACTGGATAAACAGCAAAACAAATCTGAGGTAGATCAATTCTACCTCCTCGCTATGCTTTCACGATGCCTAAGCAATATATCAATATTGTCATGATGCTATTGCTGAAAATAATATTGTGATTATTCTCTCTCTGCGCAGGCATGGCTGAGCTGCTGAGGCTGTTGCTGCGTGTGGCTGAGAAAGCGGCTAACGTGGCCCGGGTGTGCAGGCAGGAGGCTCCGCTGTTTCAGCTCCTCGTGCAAGAGAAGAAGGGAGATGACAAGAACAAGAAGTTCGTCCAGGACTTCAAGACGCTCGCCGACGTGGTGATTCAGGAGATGATCCGACATGACGTGGGCACTCAGGTAGGAGAGGTCACTGCATACGTATGGACTCTACAGTGGATGATGAACTGCTTTTTAATGGTCTGTTCCGTTCTTTTTTGCAGTTTCCTGAAATGGTTGGCTTCATTCATGGGGAGGAGTCCAACAAGTTTGAGAATGGGCTTGGTAATTATTTAATATTACACATAACATACACACAACAAACCACATGCATGAAGCTGTGTTAGGGCTCGTATGGGGATATTAACAGTGCCACACAGCATCGGGTCCTGACATTTGAGAAGCTGGAACCAGAGAATCTTTAGCTGTTTTGTTTTAGTTCTTGATGATATCACAAATTCCTCAGCGAGATTGTGATTGATCAAATTAAATGAACAGACACAGAGAATATGGGGCCAGGCGTGGTTCCACTGTAGGAGTTCTGAATCTGAGTGTAGAGGTAAATAATAGTAATCACCTCACCTTCATAGTAGAACACTAACTGAGAACACTAAGAAAGGCTAAACATACACTTGGGCTCATGATCAATACTTAAAGGTCCAGTGTGTAAGATTTAGGTGAAAGGGATCTATTGGCAGAAATTTAATGTAGAATAATCCTCATGATGTTTTCACTAGTTTATTTCATAAAAGACCCTTTATATTTAATTACTTTATATTAATTTTGAGGGGGTCCTCTCTACGGAGGCCGCCATGTTTTTTACATTAGTCCAGACTGGACAAACTAAAACCTTTTGAGTTTTTATGACAACTGAAGCTACCACAGTTTTGTTTTCATGTTTGGAAGGAGAGGGTGAGGTGAGGGGTGTTCAGCTGCAAAATGCAACTTCAACACTAGATATCACAACATTCTACACACTGTACCTTCAAGCCTCAGAGTGTAAGAATCATGTAACATGTGTGTCACAGCATGCAAACATTTACTAATTTGCATTAAAGAAATGAGGTGTCACTGACTGTGTGTCTGTAGGAGAGAGCGTGATTGTCACAGTGTGCGGTACGGAGGAGGAGACCGCGGCGCTGCTGGCCACGGTGCTGGACGGCGACCGCACGGCGGCGTCTCTGCTTGCTCGAGCCATCCACCAAAACCGTGCGACCACTGACGCCAGCACAGATGGTCTGACGGTGCCCCTCAGCCCCTCTGAGCTCGGCATCTGGATCGACCCCATAGGTGAAGGGCTCGGCGCCGTGAATATTTCTAAACATCTGATCTCAGATCTTACTGAGAACTGATCGTCTCTGTTTACTTTTTAATTAAGATGCCACCAGTCAGTACATAGAGGGCCGAGAAGAGGTGCTGGAGGAGGGTCACCTGTCTCCCTCAGGTCTGCATTGTGCTTTGGTTCTGATCGGGGTTTACCTCCGGAGCACAGGCGAGCCCGTCATGGGTGTCATCAACCAGCCGTTCAACTACAAAGATCCCTCAGATGGACGGTGGGTAAAGAAAGTTGTACATTGTGAAAGCGCACAAAGGTATAGGCACCCTTCTTCTCAAAATTGAATTTAGATGTTACCTTTACTGACTTGTTAGGGGCAGGTTAAGGTAACATCTAGTGGTAAAAGTCTCAAAAAGCTCTCCTCTAAAGCCTCCTTTAAAGAATTAACTGAGGATTCGAAAATGAAGCCTGACAAAGATCAAGAACACTGCTGGGCAGAAATACAAAGCAAGATGTGAAGGCACGAAGGTTTATCTGATCATCTGTTTATGTCTGTCTATTTTGTTTACTCTTACTTTATGTACTGTTCCCTTTCCGTCTTTGTGTCTGGACCTTTTTCTTCACCTCACGCAGCCAGAACTCTACCTGCAAGTCTTAAAACATTTGGAGATGAGTCTGACCAGGTACCCTACATGTCAGGACAGTCATTAAACTGTGGGGAGTGTTTAGATGAGGAGGTGACTCACTCCAGAACCTTATGAACAGCTACATGAAGAAGTTGATGTTGGTGGATAGTTGATCGACATGTTTTTCCAGGAGGAGCTCAGTGAGTAGGTGCTGTGCTCCTGTCAGGTTCATGAGGTTGTTCGAGTGAAGGGAGGAACTCTCAGTCATCTTCAGTATCCTTCTGCATTTTAATTGTGTGTCTCGTCTCTGAAGTGGAACGTTCTCACCTTTCCACTCCGTGCTTGTGTTCACAGCTGGAGGGGGAAACACTTCTGGGGCGTCTCCTTCGGCGACGTCAACATCTGCTCACTGTCGCGGCCAAAATGTAGATCAGAAAAGGGAGGAGGCCTCTCAGCGGTGCTGAGCTCCAGTGAGAAGCAGGTGGTGAAGGAATCCTTGACTTCACTGTGTGGCCCTGAGAAGCTCATGTATGCCTCCGGAGCTGGCTACAAGATCCTGTGTGTCATCCAGGGCCTCGCTGACGTCTACGTCCTCTCAGAGGGAAGCACCTTTAAGTGGGACTCCTGTGCTCCCCACGCCCTGCTCCGAGCCCTCGGAGGGGGAGTGGTGGACCTGAGTAAGAGTCTGCAGTCTGCCTCTGAAGCACAGGATGACCAGACAGAACTGACCTATCACCAGTCTCAGACTGGGTGTAGAGGAGCCGACCGCTGGGCCAACCAAGGAGGCCTGGTGGCGTATCGAGACTGTTCTCAGCTCCACAGCATCATCGCAGCTCTGAAAGGCAAGTTGTAGAGTGGAGGTGATCATCAAACACTGAAGCAGTTATTGTCACATATATGAGCATATAAATGTTTTTCTATGATAGAGAAGAGGTTGTCTGTGAAGGATGAAATATTTTAATTATAAGTAATACTTTTATTTTTAACCAGATATAAACATATATATGTATATATATATATTTATATATATATATATATATATATATATATATATATATATATACATATTTATATATATAAGTGTATATTTTACTTAAGTCTGGGCCAAATAATATTCACAAATATTGTTTTGTTTTTAGTCATTATCAGAAGATTTGCCCCATTTGGATGGAAAACAATTAGCAGAAGAAATCATGAATAATTCTAATTTATTTAGAAACGATCCTGACATGATGTAAGAAAAAATTATTGGAAAGCAAAATGACCTGTGTTGTACAAGAATTCTGTTGTTCTGTTGGAATTAAACATGTCAGTTCAATCAGGAGTGACTTCAGTTGAAAAATCTTTCTAGGGAAAAGTGATGTGATATGAATGAGTCAATTTGGTGCTGAGACCCCTCATGATGTCATCATGATTGACAGGGCCGAGGCTGTGCATAGTGAAGGAAATCCCCCCCGAGGTCTAAACACTGGTGGTGGTTGGCAGGAGGTTGAGGATTTGAGTGAATATGAAAAATCTAGTTTTGCTCTTGAGAAACTATTCCAACATGCAGGAAAGAGAAACATGAATGCTCCAGCTCTGTCAGTTAACAAAATCCACTGACTCCACACTCTGGTATGTTGGTGTCAAATGTTTTTATTGGCATCCAAACAGGAAAATGACAGCGTTTGGGAACCACTGATTGATGTCTTACCAGACTGGTGTAACATGGGACAGGACAATGGCGGACACAAAGTTATATTTACTAGAATCTGTTTCACACCCATGAGCGACAAGTCACAGATCCATCACAGTGTGGTCCAGTAACTTCCTCTGTGCAGCGACAAACTGAACGTTATTTGTGAATTATGTAAAGCTTTGACCTGACATGCATTTATTAAACTTCTGCTTCGCTTTGTAACCATTTGTTTCCATGTCGCTTAAAGAGAAGTTGTCAGAGTTGGGATGAGCTTAAGTGCTCACTGCTGGACAGCGGAGGAACGCTTCAGTGCCAGAGGAAAAGGAAACAGGGAGTCACAAAGACCCTGTTCAGACCTGGTAGTAACGATCACAAGTTCAGATCTGAACCCTGAACTTGCCCAAATGTGTCCTGAACGTGTCCAGAGATCTGATCTCAGACCACATTCAGAGGTGGTCTGAGACACACATGGCGTCATTCTTTTCACTGTGTGTCATGTTCACACAGGACCTGAAGGACCGCCCACTCAGCTGACGTCTCTGACCTGCAGCAGTTTCACTATGCGCCCAACTTATTTTTACGCTTCTCAGTGACTATACGCTGAATTGTTTGTAGCCACAGCCACAATATGAATAGTGATCACCACATAATGATTGGCACAGCTGTAGCTCAGGAGGAGGAGCGGGTCGCCCCTAACAAAAGGGTTGGTAGTTCGATCCCCAGCACCTCCAGTCTGCTTTCAGAATTGACGTTGGATAAGATACTGAACCTTAATTTACTCCTGGCGGCTGTGCTGACAGTGAATTAATGGTGTTGGATAGAAAAACACCGGATTAATACTCTTCACTTTTCTTTAATAGGAAAAATCTTTCTTCACAGCAAAGCTGCACCAGTTTCGCTCAGCCCATCCTGACTCTCATAGCGACACAAACACAGTGACACCAGACGCCTTTTTAAACTCATTTGGTCTTCACAAAATGAAATAACATGTAATCATTTAATCATGGAGCAGGAAAGTGAGATGGTCACAGGAGAACAGACAAGAAGAGCTGACCAGTTTTAATGAGATTTATATATGAAATTATTCATAAGGATTAACCCCTTGAGGATGTATCATCTGCTTTTCAAACGGGTCCTCGGGACAGATAGTAGTACCAGGTCTGAAAAGGGCCAAAGACCCTCTGACAGGTCCGAGAGATTGTCTTGCACTAAAAAGAGTCTAAATCTAAGTGACATTTTTTCTATCTGATCTATAAAAGGCTTTAATTAGTCATGACAGGGATTGAGACTCAAATCAAACATCGTGCAGGAATCTGCACCTCAGAAACACCGCCTTGTAAGGAGCCGAGCGATTCACATGGCCTGCCCTCTCTCCTCGGCCATAGCACCGTTAGTTATAAGGTCAGAGAATGGAAAAGCCATATGAGGTAAAGCAGTGACACAAAGAGCCCTTTTCACTTTCAGTGGGTTTAGAGTAAAATGAAACATGAGGCTAATTTGAAGTATGGGACCTCTACAGGCTCACAGGCTGCTCTGAGGGAGACACGTGTAACCTTTCTGTGTATATCATATCATACCTTACTGTATGTTTGAATGTTTTTTAACTTTGAACTGTGATGTTAAGTAATTGAAAAGAGAACAAACATTGTGCATATAGGAAATCATCTTTATTTTGAAAACCAGAGAAAGCGGGGGAACGAAACCCAACAGCGATATTTTTAAAACTGTTTGCCAGCCAGGGAACTCCAGGGAACTCCAGATTATTCCCTACTAAAAAACCCTGATGATTGTCAGATATTTTTTTGCAATACCTCTGCATATTCTGTTTGAAAACTTGAAAAGAAAAAAAAATCTGAAGGGCTCTTCCTTTGAATTCTTGGACTTTGAACAACTACCGTTAACATACAGCACTGTACATTCTCAAGTCAAGGTGGACATCTGGAAGCAAGCGTCCAGTTTCCGAGACATGGACAAACACAGTATATTGTGATCTTTAAATCAGTTTTCTGAAAAGGTGGATAAGAACTTAACCCCTTAAAAATTGCAGGGGAATCTGGAACAAATGCAACAAATTTTTAAAAGCATTTCTGTAGATTTTTGTTTGATAATTTAATATTCAACTGACATCTTTGAAAATCAGATTGTTACCTCTCATGGTCTTGGTTTGGCTCTGATCTGCCTTCACACTATTAAATATTTTTACGAGAATAGACTTAATTCATGACTATTTTACTCTCAATCTGTGAGACGAGAATCACTTGAGTTTAAAGTAAATCAATCCAAGTCCGGGAAGCTGGCCGGATGTACAAAAGGAAAAAGAAGTGACACGTGAAGAAACATGTGGTAAACGTAGCGTCCTCCTTCAACGAACTCGGACAATATCTGCAACAAAGGCTCCTCATTTGAGGCGACCACACAAACCAACTAAAACAGTTCACATACTTGGGCTTCTCCAGAGTGGAAAATGAAGCGTCATGGTCGTATAAATCAAACGCACTTTTCCAAAACGAAAACTTCTAATCATTCACTTTCTACCAAATAATATCTCAGCGTGCTACACCTCCCACTCAGATGCAGCTGGAGGAGTCTGCGTATGTTAGACCACTGATGACTGTTCAAAAACACCCTGTGATGTTTTTACAGGGGTGGGTGTGCAAATTAACACAAAAGAAGAAAAAAAACTGAACATGGTATTTCTCATCAATTGTCAATTATCAAAAATACCTTTTGTCAAATGTCTCACATCACTAAAGTCTCATGATCTTCACATATCAGGTGTAAACAATAACAGCTCCTAAATTTACCTGTGATGAAGATTAAAGTGTCATTTGAAACCAAACACAAGGTACAACCCCTTACTTAGTGCCCATGTTGCGTACAGTAACACTGGGGATATTAGGAAGAGATCAGTTGTTATGGTTCAGATTAGATTTACAGTGAAAAGTGTGACCTTGACATTTTGAAATCTGTCTTTAAACATGTCAACACAGCACTTACAGGTCAGGAGGTTAATATTAATTATAAGCTACCAGGAGCCACGGAGAATATATCAGCATGAAAACAAATGTTGTCTCAGGTTTTTCATTTACAGTGATTGTTTTTTTTAACTGACTTTTCTGTCATCCGTCATTGAATTGCACTTGCTGCAAAAAATATAGAAAGCCTGAAATGTTTAACAACTTAATGAATCAATGCAGATTCTAAATGTTTTTTACTACTGCATTTTTACTGTGTAGCTCAAGAACAAAAGTCTCTGTTGACAATTTACGTAAAGGCCACTTTGCTTCGATATTAGGTAATTAGCGTGTCTGATTTTAAATTAGAACATACATCTAAGACTCAGGTAGTTGTTACCTGTTGTATATTTTGATGTATTGAAGTGTTTTCAACAGGCTACACAGTGGATCAACAGGGGGCAGTATACATCTATTCTGTGGTCTTTTAAACTACTGTAGATACAGTATAATCAACATTTCAAAATGTCAAGGTGTCACCAATTAAGTTTTATACACCATTAACTGTGTGGTGATTATAATCCTAATCTGGGTCTGAGAAAATACACATCAGGCAGATTCATCATGTTTAAATCAGTGGGTCTGAAAACAAATAAAGCCAATTTGTTATTTTCATTCCATCACGTCCAGATTTCACATCTTGACAGCATCACAGGTTCATGTTCACTTAATCTAACTGGGCCGGTTGAAATGTTTAAATGTAACCCTAAAAAAAAACCTAATGTTATGAGTGTTCCTTCGTGAAGGATGTGATTCTCTGGTCAAATCCACGCACACATCAGCATCAGCTCTAACACAACTTCTTCTGGGTGAGTGGATACAGGGTGTGACTGTGACTCTGATCTTCATAAAGCAGTAACAGGACTGTTTCAAAAACATTGAACATTGAACCTGACCCAAAAATTAGATTTTCATTTCAGCAAATGTTACCATAGGAAAAAAATGTATCAGTTTTAAGAGGAAATTTCCTGTTAAAAATAATAATAATGATACGAAAATAAAAAAGAAACACTGGTCGTCCCAGTAGATTTGACTTCCATTGAGCCATTCAAACTTAAAGTGTTTTCTGCCTGTGTGCCGACTACCAGAGAACCACATTGAGTTCTCAAATTGCTGTTTTTGTAAATTTAGTTAAGATGTGTTGGAATCATTGATGAAGATTCTGGGATCTACATGCCACTAACGTTAGTAACACTGACGCAGTGATGTTGCTCTGCTCCTTCTCTTCTTCATGTCAGTTTTCCTGATCCATTTTTCAGTCCAACTGACTGCGACCTTCACCAGCAGTCTAAAGTTGATGTATTTAACTAACTGTATTGAAAACATGAATAACACAACTGAAAGAAGATAAGTGTGCTAAAATGCAGGTGAGTAAATCATGCGTCGCAGGATTTGGCAGGAAATTATGAAAGTGTTTTGTTACAGCATCCTGTAAAGGATTTCAATGCCAAGGCTACAGTTGTCTTAAAGACCAACAGAAAAGAGGTTAAAATGAGAGGTAAAGCACCGTCACTGCCACCTCTTCAGCCGTCCTTCAATACTGTATTCAGTCCAAACACACTCCTCTTCATGAGCCAGTCTCTTTCTCCTCTGGCTGATCCTTACCCACATTCATCTCCTTCAGTCCAGATCTTGGCAGGCCAACAGGCAGGCAATAGACAAACATGGCCATTATTTATTGTGTCCCTGTGTTGCTTTATTGATACCGTGAGAAGTGAACAGTCTTCACCTCTGGAAGGGTTTCCGGACCTTCTTCCTCCTCCTGGGGGGTTTGCCGCTTTCAGCCCAAGTTTCGCTGGGCTCTGGCCGTGGACCCCCCGGCATGTGGAAACCTGTCTGGCCTGGGGGAGGGGAGAACGGCGGAACTCCAGCACCAGGCGGTGGTTGATGAGGGGAACCTGAGGGGAAGAAGCCCCCGTTGGCAGCCATGTCATTAGGAGGTCCTCCTTTGAAGATGCGGTTGAAGAAGTCCTGCAAGTCAGCGGGATTGGTTGGACCTGTGGCGTTCTCCGAGGTCGTCCTGAAAGGAAAAGTTAAAATGTTCAGAGATCTTGAGCTAAAGTTGATTTTTTGCTTTTGTAGATGTCGTGTTATAACTGCATATGAGCACAGTCAATTACAGCCACAGGTAAAGAAATCAGCTGTGAGATGATGGTGATGATCAATTTGAACATAAAGTGTATCTTTGTTGAAATACAAACTCTACACGTTTATTGTTTGTTAATATGATCATAACAGTGCATAACACATGGGGGGTTCCTATACAGCATTTTAATGACACTGGTGGCTTCTGCAGCATACACCAATGGCTGCTGGGGGTGCTGATGCACTGAGAGGGACAAAAGAAGACTAAATACACTGGTTGGGAGAGCCAGCTCGATCTTGGACTGCCCTCTGGATTCCACTGAGGAAGTGGGTGAGAGGAGGATGTTAGCAAAGCTGAATTCCATCATGGACACTACACGACACTGTGGGGGCCCTGAGCAGCTCTTTCAGCAGCAGACTGCTTTACACACAGTGCGAGAAGGACTTTTCCACAGGTTCTTCATTCCCACTGATGTCAGACTCATTCTGATCATTCTGACACAACACCATCCAGAATGAAAAATAAATACTAAACTGGTTTTTCTCATGTCACTCTGCTATTATGGACTATTTCTAATACACATTAGTGTCCTCTGCACATGACCTGTATTATACCATTTATTGTGTACCTTTCTATATTTATACTACATTGGATACTTCTATGAATTTATATTTATATATACATATATATATATATATATGTTAATTTCTTTTTAAAGAAAGGTAGGAGAAGAGGGAGAAAAAGTACAAGAGGAGGAGAACCACCCCACTGACTCCCCATATACATTAAATATTAAGTATTTATTTCACCCAAGGGCACATACCTGTGTCGTGTGGGATTGCTGTTGGTCTTTGAACCAAAGGAGATGTGATAGGGCACACGGTGAGTGTCAGGAGAAATGACTATTCTTTGACAACCTGCCCACTCTGAAACAGAGACAGAAAACATATACTCAAAGACATTCTTGACCTTGTAGAGGCATTAAAGGGACACATGCTGATAATTGTGTACATGAGCTTAGGAAACATGATCTGTAAATAAAATCCTGATGATCACCTGTTATATCATAGACCTTGCCGTCCATACAGGCAAAATATGTGATGCGAAGGCCCAACATGCTTGACTCGGCCCATAGGTCCCCCTCCTCAGCACTATGGTAACGACTGCATTCAGCACAGAACCGGGCCTCAGCCACTTCACGATCCATCTCGAACCGCCTGCAGGCGCGCGCACACACACACACAGGTCATGAAGGAAACAACTGTGGAGAACAGTCTGCTGTGGCATACACAAAGATTAAACTGAGGAGATGATTCAGCTGCGACTGCAGATAATCTGATATATATGATGTGTAGAGACGTACTTGTGTTTGCCTTCACACTTGGTGCACATCATGGTGTTCATGGCTTCCTTCAGGTCATCCTGCAGTTTAGTGAGAAACTCGTTCATGGACTTGGAGAGCTCGGTTGCTGCCATGCGTTTCCTGTGTGAGAATTAAACAGATTGGTCGGTGCTGTGCTACATTACAGGCCGCTGATGTTTATTTTTATTATCACTTTTATTTGACTTTGAAATCTAAAGTGCAGGAGATTTTCTTGAAAGCAAAGGAGAGTGTTCACTGTGATGATCATTCACTCTACAATAGTTAACAAGATGATAATTTTCTATTCTATTGTTATTAAAACTGTACTAGAGGAGGAAATATTTTAGATTATTAGGTAAAAGATGAAAAAACATTTACTTAATGCAGTAAATGTTTCGAAAGATCTGTTTTTATTTTGCTTCTATGATGACCAAGTTTTCAGCATACTCACAACTCATACTCTCGTCGTGTCTCTGGGTTACTGACAATATCCCAGGCAGCCCTCAATACTTTGAACGCCTCTCCAGCTCGTGGGTGTTTATTTTTGTCTGGATGGACCTGAAAGAGAAAGGGCAGAGGAAAAGGTTACATGAGGAAAAAAAACTTTCAGCCTCAGATGCAGTTTATTAGTCATTATTTCAGACATCAAACCATAACATTTTCCACTTTTCACTCAGCCACAGGTAGCTCACACAAACCTGGACAGCCAGCTGTCTGTAGGCCTTCTTCAGCTCAGCCTCAGAGGCGTGTACCTCCACACCAAGCACTGTAAAGGGGTCAAGCTCGTTCTCCGGTATCTCAGCTAAGGCCAGCAGTCTCTCCAGCTCCTGGCCCGACTGGCCCCTCCCTGCTCTGCCAGGTGACTCATGTGTGGATGGTGGTGCGTGGGCGTCTTTCCTGAACCGTCTCTGAACTCTCTCCAGCAGGGAAACAACCCGCTTCCAAAACCTTGACTCCTGAAAAGATGTCCAGTAGCGTTTTCCCCGTTCTCCACCAAGTCGGACCACCACACCCTTTACCCATTGGGACCCAAGAATAGCCAAAGCACAGAAAAGTCTGAAACAAGATAAGGCCGCTGTCTTTACCCACTTCCCTGACCTGACAATTTTATCCACCAAATCTACTCCTGTGCATTTAGTCCATTTCAAAATCCGACTAGCATCTGCCTTCATCCCGTGTATATCTGTGATCTTTAAAAGAAGCTGCTGTCCAAAGTTATAAAGTTTCACTCCTCCAGTTTCCACACAGACTCCACAATTGTGAGTTAATGTGACAATAATCTCAATCATCATGTGGACGCAGGAGATGCACCAGAAGCTGAGAGACTCTGACAGCATCTCCTTGAAAGCTAAGATGAGCTGGTTGCCTGTCCGCCTGCGGCTCCGGTTCTGCTGATGGTGGTGGTGATTACGTCTGCGGGTCTGCTTGTGCCGGCCACCACTGGATATAACATTGCTTTTTTGAAAGGAGGCAAAAGCACTTTGACTGCTCTGCTCTGAAAATGAACCACTGCTCTTCAGTTTGCATCTCCGTCCGCCTCCCAGGCTCCTCCAACCAGACTCTCCATTCATGTGCTGCTCCTTCTCAATATCATCCTCTTCTTGAACCTGCGAGCTTTCAAGATCTGTAGCGCCGTCATTCTCTAACCCATCTGAAGCCTGCTCAGTGTCCTCTTTGGCCTCTGTAGATCCACAATACTCTACTTCATCAATTCCGAAGTCCTGTGGGGTGTCTTGGTTTGGGGTGTCCTGAGATTTGAGACTGGCGGTTGTGTTCTCTTGCTCACAGTCATCATCAGTCTCTCTGTCCTCACACTGACTAGATTTGGTCACTAAGGTGGAATCACCTTTAGGGAGCTCCTCGTCAGTGTCTGTAACTCCATCCATCTCCTTCTCAGCTGCTTCCCTCTCCATGTCCCTTACAGCTGTTTGACTGAAGGGCTGTAAAACTGGAAACTCAAGGAAGGTGATGTCCTAGATCCATAATCAGTGGCAACGTTTCCCCAGACTCTCATGAAAAATGGAGACTGGGGGCTTCTTGGAGCCAGTCTCAGGTCCACCATATCAGCAGCCACTTCCAAGGTTTCAAGAGGGTTTTACAAACCACACAGCTATCATTGTGCATCTGGCTGCTTCCTGAAAGAGAATGAGGTAAAAAATCAGCAGTGATTTATATCACAAACATGACAGATTTTATCCATATCACTAACCACTAAAGAGCAATTAAGTGGAAATTACACGTGAAGTTTTCAGCTTGATTGATAGAAATTTCAAGAATTCATTTTTATAGTAGATTAATAACTCAACTGCATTACCAAACAAAACAGTCAAATATTATCTAACGTCAGCTTCTCCACTGTGATGAACTTCTCACCATTGTAAAGTCATGCTGGCTCAGAAGTGCAGATCAGTCAAAGCAAGACAATTGAAGACGTTACATTGGGGGTTTGCTAATGTAACCATGGTAATGAAGAAGTGTACTGTATAATGAAGGAAAGATGTAGATGGGCAAAAAACAACTAAGTCTGATTTTACTGGTGCTACAAAGAAATATTACCATTATTATGAAATCAGTTCACGACTGTGTGACGTGAAGGCTTCTCTTCAAGTATGACACATGCTGTTCAGTTTATAAAGAGCTGATCCTGATTGACGGAATAAACTAATGAGAGAATGCCGAATGAGCCCTGACAAGTAGCGGCACCACCACATCTGTCCAAACCTGGTAGAAGTTGATTTACACGCTCAGACACCGCAGATGGTATTAAATCAGGCTGCTTTGAGGTTTGCTAATTCAGTTAGCCAGAGAAACACGGTGTAACTCCAGAAAACAAACACGAGCAGCAACAACAATCTTCTGACCCTTCAGAGGCGATAAAGGGTAGAAGATAGTTAATCCCATCGCGGTGTCGCCTGTCTGACAATTCCTCGTGTTAGTTGAGCTGCGAGAACAACCGCAGCAGATGTTTAGCAGGCGGCTACTGTTAGCAGGTAGCTTCGCTGTTAGCATGAGAGGAGGCAGGCGGCCAGCTGGACGACAGACAGGGGCTAAAATTAGCTTACACCTGGCTTCCTAACCCGACCGTATCTAACTCGACTAAATAAGGCCTCACACGAGGTTAAAACGACGGCACGGCAGCGACCTGTCAACGCCTGTGGGAAGCTAGCAGCCAATCGAACAGCTAACGGCTAGCTACGAGCAGAAGAACGAGTCGGATGAGCTAATATTTACGACTGACTGTGGCTCTGTCGGGTAACATGAGGCATGTTTATAACACCAGCAAGTAGGAACATGGTTATTCATTATGCACTGAAACAAACTGGATGTCACATATACCTCAGATTACTGTGTAACCTTGTTTGTTCACACACAGCCAAGTGTCGCTGATGTTTTCTTTTTTGTTTTTTTTTCTCCAAGCACTTCTTCTTCTGCTGCTCCTTTTCCTACTTCTTCCTCCTCCTCCTTCCCCTTCTTCGGTCATTTCTCAAAGTGACAAAACAGTAGAGGAGCTCTACTGCCACCTGTTGCTTTGAAAGTTAACATAGATGGATAAATGGATAGATGGATAGAGAGATAGAGAGATAGATAGATAGATTCATTGAGAGATTGATAGATAGATATGCCAACATGAAAACTTTTATTTTACAGAATAAATAATTAATAAAACACTTACAGATTATACAGTATGTTATATGTTATACTTATATTTTACATAGAAATAAAATGTATACAATTTCTTTTTAAAAATTTAAAAAAATAAGAACTTATTCCAAGTTATATGCTACGACTAATAACAAGAAGTGCACTTATCCACTTTAAATTCAAGGTGTACCGAGCAGAGATGTGATGTGGGGATTGTAGCCATGCAATAAAATGGACAACAGAAAAAGCTGCACAGTGAAAGCAGCAAGCGGTTTGTAGATGTTGATTCTTGATGTGCATGAGCAGAAAATCCCATAGGAATGTTTGCCACTCCAGGCAATTGTGCAGTACTTCTGGTCTTTTTGTGCCCCCCACAAAATGCATGTGAACCTAAAGTGGCTAGCTTGTAAAATAGCAAAGGTGGCCCAATTATCCAGAAATCAATGTGACTTTTTGGGGGGCAAACATCCAGTGTTCTGGGCAAGGTGTAATCTGGATGTGAAACTTAAGTGGCCCATGTGGTAAATGGCAAATATGGCCCAAATAACATGAAACAAATCCAGGCCACCCTTGGTTGACATTCAGCATTGCCATGGCTCACTTGTGGCCCAGATTTGGTAAACAGGAGTGGACCACCCACGGGCCATCATTCCACGAGGAATGTGGGCTGGATGACAGTGTTTGGTGAGGGCCAAATATGGGAGTTATCTGATCAAATTCAGTTGTACTGTTATTTCAGGAGTTTATTTGTGTCTGTACCCTATAAAGGCCCAGTGTGTAAGATTTAGGTGAAAGGGATCTATTTGCAGCAATTGAATATAAATTAATCTTGGTGATGTTTTCACTAGTGTGTAATCATCTAAAATGAATGAATTGTTCTTTTTTTTTTTTACCCTAGAATGGGCCCTTCATGTTTAAATACTTGAATACATCAGGAGTGGCCGCCATGTTTTTTACAGGAGTCCAAACTGGACACCTTTTGGGTTTTTATGACAACTGAACTCTACCACAGGTTCTCAGTCATGTTTGGAAGGGGAGGCTGAGGTGAGGGGTGCTCAGCTGCAAAATGCAGCTTCACCACTAGATGTCACTAAATTGTACACACTGTTCCTTTAAATTTTTCAAAGAAGAATAACATAAGCAAAGTGCTGTTGTTTCACCTGAACTCTCAGAATAATTTAGGACCACCCACTTTCCACATGAATAAGCCAAGAGAAAAAAACCGAAACTCTTGTTTGGTAGAATCCACATCTGTCACATCTGTTCTCAGCTCTCTGAACAAGCCTAAAGCTCAGTCTTGGTGTGCTGACTTCTGTGGGGGTCTGTTCTGTGATATGGCACAACTCTGGGAACCCCCCCTAAAAAAAAAGCTCCTGCATATAACTGATCTTGAAGACGCAGAGGGTTAACTCCAAGCCCCCACCACCACTACCACCCACATTGTCCAATTTGAAAGCCGCCTCTCTACCGGGAGAGGAAGGCTCTTTTTCGGTCAGATGGCGTGCTGCAGTCCGCCCCCGTCATTCTCCAGCCCACACAAACAGCAAAAAGGCAGCCAGCGACCAATACGGTGCGCCGGAGGAGGATTTCTGCCAGTGATTTCAGACGAGCCACGATACGCAAAGGGGGATTTACTACGCCAATCTGAGCCGGGGAAGCTTGCGGCGATAGCCTATAGGTACCAGGGTAAGAGACGAGGCTGATGCTGACTGATATGTCTTTAAAGGAGTGTTTACTGCGAACATCTGGCTCCCAGCCCATTTTCTTTTTATTATCTGAACTGGAGCGAATCATCCAAGTGTTTCTACTCTATGATCTAAACGTAACGTGGGTTTGTGTGACTGATGAAGCGGCATTAGTTTCAATTTCTTGGTGTGCTTTGTGTTTATCAGTTTTGGCCAGACAGTATCGATCTGTGACATCTGGTTGGAAAGAAATCTTTGCGTAATTACGCCTCTCTCCTCTCTGCGCATCTACCTGGCCTGGATAAGGTAAGAACTGTTACGATATAAGCATAAAATAGTTTTAAAAAATTACAATTATGCACAAATGTTAAGGCTTACAAGGGTTTAAATAAATAAAAAAGGTGTTTACAGAGGTGAAAATACTTTCTAACCTATGTGAAGGACGCTATTCTGCTCCAAAGCATGCATATGAATTGTTATAAATGCTCCATCCAGCTTGAAGAAATTTAAAAACAGATACAGACTATCAGGTGGAGCCCACGTGGAAAATAATTCATCAAAATAACTTGTGCATATTCACGTCTGTCCTCTCTCCATGCCCCAAACTTTCCAGTGTTGTGCCATGTCTCTGCCACGCACACTTGGGGAGCTGCAGCTCTATCGGGTTCTGCAAAGGGCCAACCTGCTGGCTTATTATGAAACCTTCATCCAGCAGGGCGGTGACGACGTGCAGCAGCTCTGTGAGGCAGCAGAGGAGGAGTTCCTGGAGATCATGGCCTTAGTTGGCATGGCCACCAAGCCGCTGCATGTGCGTAGGCTGCAGAAGGCCCTCCGAGACTGGGCGGCCAACCCTGCCCTCTTCAACCAGCCTGTCGCTAATGTTCCCCTCGGGGGCATCCCTCTGTTCAAAGTGGACGGTACAGGCTCAAGTGGATCCAGGAATTCTGTGAGTAACGGGCAGCCCGGGTCACCCTGTGAGAGGGAGGATCGGGCATGTCTTACCCCAATGCACAGTGGGAGTCCCAGAAGCCCCTGCTCCCAGGCCTCCCCACAGCCACCAGACACACACTACAGGGAAAAACTGTCACCCATGGACCCGCACTGGCTCAGCCCGGAGCCAGATGGAAACTGTTCAGCATCTGGATTAGAGGAGGAGCCACCCAGCCCACCTCTGCCGTCAACGTGTCCTCCCGGTCCCTCCACATCTCCCAGTCCCTCTGCTTCTGTCGCCCCTGCAGCCCTGTCAGCCTGGCCCGGAGGACAGCTGGACGGGGAGACGGCGAGAGCAGTGGTGGAGAGCGTGGAGAGGCTCCTCAGGACTCTGCCAAGGTCAGATCCTGCGGAGGTGAAGACTCTGCTGAGGATGAACAAGAAGTTGGCAAAGACTGTAGGCCACATCTTCAAAATGGGGTCCCAGGACGTGAACAAGGAAGAGGAGATCCGGAAATACAGCCTCATTTATGGACGCTTCGACTCCAAGAGGAGAGAAGGCAAGCAGCTCACACATCATGAGGTAATGAGCATCAAAACAAGAGCTGAGATGAAGTTTTTCAACATGTTTCATTTACCTGCAATGACTTAATAAAGAATACTTCACTCTATTAACTCAAATGGAGCTTTACACATTTGAAACAAAGATAATCATTTTGTCTGGATGTGATTTCCAGAGTGTCCATCCCTCTTTCACTCACTGCTTCCCCTCCAGTTGATCATCAATGAAGCTGCTGCCCAGTTCTGTATGCGCGACAATGCCCTTCTGCTGAGACGAGTGGAGCTCTTTTCATTGGCTCGGCAGGTGGCGAGAAAATGTGCCTACACCTCCACTCTGAAGCATGCAAGGTATGATGCTGCGTGTAGAGAGGAGATATCAGTTCACATTCACCTCACATCACACACACACACACATACACACATACAATACAATACACAAAACCTGTTTGTCAATGTTCATGAAAACCTATTCACTAATCTTGAAAGTAAATACCAGCACAAAACAGACCTAATTAAAAATAATTTATATGTATTTTAAAAAATGTATGTTTGTCATTATAACAGCACATCAATTCTAAGATTTGTCTCTTTTCCTCAGATTATAATTTGGTGGGAATTTAATTCCATTTAATTCCAGAGAATATGTTATAATTTCAATAGTTATTGAATTGGAAGAACCTTGAACAATTTATAAAATATACAAAATATCCTCATTACAACTTGGCATTCAAATACTTAGCTAATTAATTTGCAAGTAAATCATTATTTCACTCTCTTTGATCCACTAATTATGTTTCTGTGGACATTTAGTTCACATGTCAGGGTTTTCCTAAATTAATGGAGGAAGATCCTGTTTCCAAGGTCAAGAACTGATCTTTCACATTAAAATGGTTTGGTTGTTTTCCTCCTGCAGGACAAATTCAGATGAGAACAGTGTGTTGCCACAGAAGAGAGCAAGACATGAGGTGAGTCTTTAGATCTACCACCAGTCAACGTCACTCAGTCTGGTGGTACTTAGTTTAAACATCAGTCGCTTGTCAGAAGTGGTTCAATTAACAGTAATGTGTTTTAGGTAATGGTGCCGGAGAGCGTATCATCACTTCTCGGAGTGGAGAGCTCAGAGTCCTTGACCCAGAGAGCAGACGATGACAGTTTATCTGCAGAGAGCCTCGACAGTGTATCACATGGTAAAGACCTCCGATATTCAGTGTATCATAAGAAGTAGTTTTTTTTACTGTAAAACGTCTTCTACTCCAGTAATCCTTCCTGTTTCTATAATAATTCTTGTTGGAAGGCAGCATTCACAACCAGATCTGTCTGTCCTGTTAGACACGGGCTCACAGTGCAACCAGTCTCCTTCCCCTCATCCCCACTCTGACACATCCAACCCCGCCAGCTGGAGTCGCCACCTCATACAGCAGACACTGATGGACGAGGGGCTGCGATTGGCTCGGATGGTGTCTCATGATCGGGCTGGCAAGATCAGCCTAGGGTCAGAAGGGACCCGCTCCTCAGGTGACTTTTTAAATAATGACTTAACCATATTGTGTGTTTAATAATGGACATAGAATAAAAGTATTTCTTTGCAATGTTTGATCATCTTTGTTTGGGTTAGAGGAATCATTTGAAATTCTTTGGAAACACTGTCCATGCTTTGAGTTAGATGAGGTATGAACAAAGCACTGGAGGGCTTTTAGCTTAGCTTAGGACAAGGTCTGGAAGAAGGTGGAAACAGCTAATTTGGACTGTCCAAAAATCAAAATCCAGCTCCTCTAAAGCTCACTTATGTTACATCTTGTTAAATTCCTATAAAAACAATGTCATGACACTTCAGTATTTTACGGGGTTAATGTGTTGGAATATTTCTTGGCTGGGAGAAGTTTTACACTATGGCCTGAATAAACTAAAGAGATTTGTACATTTTTTGATTTTTAGGGATGCTGCAAGAAAGTAAAAAAAACAAAATAACAAACTATTTTTTAAATTTGGAAATGGATGTAAAGAGACAAGAGTCAAATCAAAAACGACGTAGAGACTCCCTAACCTCCTCCTAACAATGAATATTTTATAGCTCTACAGCTTGAACTCTAATGAGTCACATTCTCTCTGAGGTGACGCCTCCCACCACACACAGCTGAAGTTCACCAGACTGTAAATTAGAGAGGATAGAAGTTAGAAGGGGAAACAGAAGGAGGTGGAGAGTGATATTGGAAAAGAGTGAGAAAGGGAGGGTAGAGAGAGAGAAAGAAGAGAGGGGGTGGTGTTACACTGTTATAGCACTTCTTTAATACTCTTATACTACAGCGTTTGTCTGATGCATCAAGGCTCCTCACGAGAAATAGAAAAAAAGATCTGGGCAAGTTAGTGATTCAGGGCTGCGAGAGTCAGTCGAGGAGATGAAGCGAGGAGAAGCCAGCAAAGACATGAGGGGGCAGGGGAGGAGGTGATGGTGGTGGGGGGTGGGGGGATAGGAAGTACTCTGTGGGCGGCAGAATCGGGCCCCCCTTCTCTCTCTCGGCAGCAACTGACGTCAGAGTGTGTTAGGTGCGTGGGCTGGAGGGCGGGATGGATGGGGCGTGGGGGCGAAGGAGTGGGAGGTAATTGGAGGGGCGTTGCATTGACTCACCAAGCGACAGTGTGCAAAAATAAAAACCTGTGGGCAGTGAAATGGCACAGTGTTTTTTTCATACATCTTCTCCCTCTACCAAAGGAACTGCGGAAATAAAAAAAGAGAAAGAAACGACATATGTTTCATCTCTGACGTAGATCTCCCTCACAGTGTCTTCTGTGTTTTTTCTCCTCCTCTCAAGTTTCCTGTACGTCTGTCTCTCTCATCAGTGAGAAGTTTCTCTCACTTCCTGTTGACGTCACCGTTTTTCATCTTCCGTTGTTTACCTGCAGATTATCTCTCACATATCATTTTTCATTCTTTTTAACCACAAATACAGAACCTTTAATCCAGTACATTAAACTTACTTGGGTTTTTATTTATTTTTTACTGAATATGTGCACTTCAATTTTTGTGGTGTTGAAATTGTTTTACTACATGATTATTAATATCATATTACTGCATTCTGTTAAAACACTTGGACACTGTTCTGAATCAGCAAATGAATAAATGAATAGTCAACAAATTAATATTGTTTGACTCATAAACCAAAGTGAAACACACTATGAATAATAAGAATCAATAAGAAAATATAAAGATGTGTTTGTTACCTCTGCCAAGGAGGTTTGTTGGTTGGTTTGTTTGTGAACAAGATTACACAAAAACCACCAGACAGATTACCATGAAACTTGGTGGAAGGATGTTGTATAGGTCAGGAAAGAACCCATTACATTTTGGTTTGGATCAGGATCAGGGGGCGGATTTAGTTATGTTTTTTCACTTCCTTGAACATTGTGAGATCGGGCGTCACCGTTTACCTAGAGAATGATTAATGGATCTTGATGAAAAAAATAATCAGGCATGTTAAGAGAACTGATATCCTGGTGCAGCTTGATTGAATTTAAGGGGACTTCTGGGGCTTGGCGATGGTACGTACTCTCTTGTGAGCTGGAATTGTTGACGTAATCACTACCTGATCACCAACCGATAATCAGTAAATCATCTGCAATACTGGCGACTTAATGTTAGTCAACATGGTCTGGTATTAAAAATCATGTTGACTCCATGTTGAAGATGTTCTTGTTAAATTCTACTAACTAATTCTTCAAAGATTAAAACATTGGTTTCATACTGATTACTGTGACTCTTACCTTTATCATCTTGTGCCTTAAACAGTAGCAACAAATGAAAAAATGATTTATAGAAGCATATTAGTTAATTAATTTTATATTCATAATGTTTAAGAGACATTACTTGGAATTTTAGGGTGTCAAGGATTTCCATGTTGAGTTCAGTCTGATATTTAGTTCTCAGTGGTTCTCTATCTAGTACTCGTTCTTTAAGCAGCTCCAATAAGCTCATGTCAAACTTCACATCTCTCCACAGACCATGACAGTAAAGTGGAGAAGCGGGGCTCATTAACAGCATGCAGGAGCAGTAGCCCCTGCATCACCAAAGACAACTCCAATCACCGAGGGAAATGAAAAGTGCTCCGAGGTTATCAGGGAACTCGATGTGCTCAGGCCCAATGCTGAACTTCACTCAGACTTCTGCACAGGCTGTTACTGAGCAGGTTTTCTCCACATGTACTTCACTGACATCACACACATCTGAGTGACTAGAAAGTCTTTACAGTTCATTTCAGAATTTACCAGTGACTGATCTCATCCACCTGCAGTGACTTCTAAATGCTGTGGATCAAGTTCAACAACGTTTAGTTTTATTAAGTAAATGTTCAGCGGAGTCAATTTTTAGTTTTAGTTTTCAAATTCATGGACTTTGTGTCCTGCGGATTTGATCTTATCGTTTAAAAAGTGATTTTATCAGGAAAAAAAATGATATTTTTGTTCAATGGATCAACCTGTTGTGAGCTGTGCTGTAAATTCCACCTGTTTCAGATGCGATGGTATCGCCACAGCAGGGGGCACTGCAACTTTGGAAATGGACTCTCTGAACTTAAAATTTAGTGCCATGGAGGGAATTTGCAGACTCAGCACGTAATATAATAACAAGACTATAACAACAGTCTCAGCACCTTCAGGAAACACGTCGACATGGTAGTCAAAGATGGTGTTCCTTAGAATCAAAGATAATCTACGTAGATGAAGTAGGAAAACATTTATCAGAGCATGAACACAAACACTGCTGTTAGGTTCAGATGCCTTTTGTCCTTTTTACTGCATCATCTAGCCACCTGTCAGATCAGAAGAGACACCCTGAGATCTATATATACACACAGTATATATATGAAGCCACCAGCTTTCATTTTCTCTCTCACATCCTTCTTCAACAGTATTTTTCCACAAACAGCTGAAATTGTTTGCACGAAAAAACACAATCAACACTTCTGTTTGAGACATTTCATTATTTTAAATGATGTGGAAAATGTAAACAGTTTCTAAACTCAGCAGCAATAGAAAAGAATACAGACACTATATCGATTTCCAGGAGATTGATTTTCACTAATTTCTTTAAACAGAGGAGTTAAGTTTCAGACTCTGGGAGCAGCAGGGCTCAGCATCTTGCTCAAGAACATTTCATCAGGGAGGATGTTTTCTGATGTTGTGCAGCCTTTCGGTGAAACTGCTTTCCGAACTACATTGTGAGATTTACAAAATGATACATTTAAAAACACAGTGTCACAGTATTTAAAAAGATGTGGGGATAAGTATAGATTTTTGATGCAATGTGTTTAGGTGTATCTGACACTTGTGGGCTGTAGCAGTGTGTATTTTGGGATGATTTCTTTAGATTAAGATATTAGCAAGATCAACTTTATGATAGTTTCCTTTTTTTTAAACAATTCTTTTCCCCTCTGAGACTCACAATAACTTTAAAAAGAAAATGACATGCAAAGGTTTACAGAAAGAAATCTCATGGTGCTTGACCTTTGATTCAGCAGCACCTGCAATTCATTTCAACCCATGGCTCTTATAAGGAGGAGTTGAAATGGGCTTAGACAAGGCAAATATTGATAATTGATGAAAAAGGTTTTTGTACTCTCCACCACAGATACAGTATGTCAGTGAGGTACCTTGCTGTGTTTCACCTGCCTGTCTGCTGAGCATTAGTGACCTCAGTTTATTATGTTGCATACAGATAATTTATTTTGTTACATCTCAATAAATGTTATTTTATTGCTTAAAGCGTCTTTGTTGCTTAAAGCTCTGTTTTCCACAATGAATGGTTGTTTTATATTTTTTCTCCTCTGGTGCTCGGGGAACGGGAGCTGCGTCACACAGCCAGCAACACCTCGTCTTGTTTGTTGCACTGACACTTTGCAGCAAGTCTCTATGCTGGTATGACTCACCTGTACCAGTGATGTCACCAGGGCTCTGACACTCACACACACTCACAGACACACACACACACACACACACACACACATACAGCCTTAGAGTTTTACAACCACAAATGATTTTTAGTTTATTTCACTGACTGTAGTTAACAGGTAACGCACAATGATAAGGTTAGTATATGACATGGTTTAATATTAAATATTATGTATATTAAAGTATTGATTCATGGTTAAAGTTATAGCTTTTAGTCCAGACTGTTATTTTACTGAACAATTATTTACTGGAAGGCCTTGTACAGATATTCATGCCCAGAGGATGTACCCAATTGATTTGGATGGTTTCCTAGCTTTTCTTCCAGCGCCATCATGAGGTTGATCATTTTGTTTTTTATTAAAATGTCTTGGCAACTCCAAAAACTGTTTAGTGACACACATTCATTCGTGACCAAATAGAGTTCTTACAAAGCTCATGACATTCCCATCATCAGTAAATATTCCACCGGTTAAACGTTTGGACTTTATATGTGAGCAATTACATTTGGATTGGTTCTTTATTGTGATGATGAGAGCAATGTGTGGCTGCAGACGATGGGAGGCGTTGTCATCAATCAGCTGTCAGCGCCATTAATTAGGGACTTAAATGTCTGAGTCTATTCTTAGCCCAGGCTCTTTCCTCTGCAACACAGAGCTGAGCGGCAGACAGCTGATTGGTTCAAAGCAAATATTTAAAAAGCATTTTACTGGCCAAGAAAATATAAATATCTTGATATGTTGTAGAATACAGTTCTAAACACCAAGAGATTTGTCCACTGTGTACACACGTGGGCAGTATTTAGTGTCTGCAAGTCTCTGGCTCGCACAAATGTTGAAAAGCAGATAAATGTGAGTTTATCATTAATTAGATCATTTAATATGGGCTGTGAACAAAGCAGACAGTATCATCAAGGATAAAATCTGTAATAAAAACCAGGCAAGCAAGGTTACAGTTAAATAAAGGTGCAATAATCACTGGTTTGTTTCAATTTTTTATAACCAACAACAACGAAGTGAGACAGAGTTGTATAATATTCCAATGGTGTGGGCACAACAAATGAAATTCTGTTATCTGTCATGCATCAGGGTAAAGGCATTAATCTCAGAGATGGATCAACAAATCATTGACTAATCAAACCATGGTAGATTTAACGTTTTTTATTATTTAGGTTAACTAAGCCTTTTAAAATGCAATACATCCTCACTGAACATAGATGGAAGCACAGGGAATCTATTTCATCCCTTCATTTTACACCCTCAAGAATCTGCCCAGTTCATCCACAGGCAAACTGCTAATTTCAATGTTGCTTCCAGGGATCAGGTTAACTCAGACTCCACTACATCATGCAAACAAATCACTCATGAGAAGTTTGGTCCGCGCCGTCTAGGAGATGTGGGTGTGAAGATGTCGTATGAACTCTCCTTTGGTGGTTGTGTTTCCGGGGAAAACCGCCTGGCAGAAGTCGCATACTTGTGACTGCAGCGCTATGTCTGACATCAGTAACCCACCAGGCTGGCTCAGGAAGTCCATGAAATGGGACTGACTGTCTGACGCAGGCATCTGATACAAACATAGAGCACACGACAAGGAGTTTGAGAGGGAGAACATGTAAAAAATCTCAGGGCAGACTGGAGAAGGGCTGAGCGTGGCATGATGTTCGGGCTGAGGACACCTACCCTCGATGTGTGCACAGTCCTGTCTCTTCGAGGATGGTCTGGCTGCCCTGGATTTTTTGATTCACTGGAAAAGGCTCCCTGCCACCTGGAGGAGTTCAGGTTTAACAGAGGTGCAGCCTTCGGCTCCAACTTCCCATCCTCCTCTGTCCGCAGAGGAAAATCCATGCAGAGCTTGGACATATCTTCGGCAAGGAGATAAGAATAAGGGTCCACATTTCTGGAGATGCAACACTGTGGTGCTACTGTCAGCGGTTGAGGCTTTTCATGGAACAACACAGGGATTGCTTGGCTGGACTGGACAGTGATGGACATCATGTCATTTAACTCTGCATTAGGAACAGCGGCGCCTGCAGGAGGACAGTTGTAGATGAGTTTGATGAATAATGACACATGTAAGCAGGTTTAGGTTTTATATGGACCTTGCTGCTTCTGCAGGGCTGTTGTGAGTTGATGCAACAGAGCTGCTTGTCTCAGACAAAGAGACCTCAGGCGCAGAAACTGCTGGTAGAGTTCACTGTACGCTTCCTCCATCCCACCAGCTCAGGGATCTGCAGATAAACAACACACAGGAGATAACACTGGGTTGTACAGAGCACCTTCAAACTGTAGCTACAGTAGAATCACATTAGGAACCATTCTAAAGCTGTTTTCAGACATAAACAAATGTCAAAATAATTGGGTCCAGTCCAGTTTGCCTTTCACATACCATGTTCACGTGAAAATATCTGGAACATTCAGGTGATGACTGGTGTCTGGGTAGAGCAGCAGGAGACAGGACAAGATATAAATTCTGCTGCAGAGATCATGTTTTTTGTTTACACCACATCCACGTCGGTTCCTATAACCAAAGGCTCTCGAATCTAATTTTTCTTTCCAAGCTGACATCTTCATCAATGCATGTATGACGCCCGTCTCATCTTAAAAACATCATCAACACATCCACATTCTCACATAAACTAACTCTGGATTACCAACTCCGGCGTTCTCACAATTAACTCCTCTAGAAAATCCTTTTTAGAGTATACAGTAATGTAGCAGCTTGCAAAGGTTGATGAGCTCAGAATGACAATGCTGTTAGGCTGATATTTAGCAGGTATACTCACCAGATTCACTATATTATGTTTCTTTTGAGCTGATGATCCTGGGAATGTCATTAGTTTTGAAGTTTTACATTAATTCTATCTACTAGAGACTTTGGATTTCTGTGGCAATTTTCATGACATGTCACTTTAAAATTAGGTTTTCCAAATTAATGGTAACTGCAAAGGATTATATGATTCATATTCAGTGACCACCACACATCCTTGATGGAAACATAATACGGAACTCATTTATTGTGTTTATGTTTAACTGTAATTTACCACCCAGTTGCAAAAACACTATCACCATCATACACAGCAGGTTAGATGAATCAGGAATCTGCTTTTATTTTCTTAGATCACTGAGTATTAGTTCAATGTATCATGTAGTTGTCGGTTGTTGACCGATTTCAAATTCTATTTTAGGATTGAAACAAACAAGTGTAATTTTTTCATTTTATAGTCTATACCTGCAGACAAAATTGTATTTTCTGACAATAAGTTAATATAAAAGATGTAACCTAAACATATAATATTAATAATATGATATATTTCTACTTTCATTTCATTCGAACGGTTCATTTTGAAAATCAGCACAGATTTACTTACCCCTCGTCTGCACACTCAGCTGCTGGAGTTCAGGACTCTATCATTTCTTAAAGATGTCTGCTGTCGATCCTCCTGCACCGAGCTTCCTGTTGTAGGAAGGAATCAGACACAGCATTTAAATCCAGACTTTATTCCACAGCCTGTAAATGTGAGACTGTGAAATCCGTCTGCAGATGACTCTTTACCAAACACACTAATGATTAAGTTTCTTCTTCCGTGTTGAGCTCATGGAAATTATGCTTTGTGTTACTAATGTAACCTGCATTGCGACAGGGAACTGTTAAACATGAGGAAGTAGCTCTTGAAAAATCAAGAAGTGAATCCCTTTTACTTATAAACAAACATCACAGTCTCTCAGTTAGACTCTTACGTGACTTCCGCTGGGTATTTAGCATCAACTCTAAATAAGATAGAGCCAGGTTTTATTTCTAATATTAAAGAGCAAATTGTTTGTCTCAGCTTATAAAACTTGTTTTATTTAAGGATGTGAAACAACTTTTAACTGAGACACATTATTGTCATGGAGCATAATAGGGAATATGAATGTGTCCTGAAGGGATTATGCAGCTGAGGCCAATGAAATGTCCTGCAGGGTTTTTATTATGACCACTGCTGACATTCATGAGGTGCACTCACACTCTTTTGTTGAATGGTTTAATGGTAACTATTGTAAAAAGTTATCATCATTTATTAGCTGATAGACAGAAGTGCAGTTGTTTACTTATTATTTACAGCTGTGTCGTGTTTTTTACTAAATTAAAATCATGAAAAGAACAACTTAAATTTTATTTTTGCACAAAACATAATTATTCAAATAGTTTCAAAAACCTGTGTCTATCTGTTTTCAAAATTATTTTCATAATTTAGTATTTATTTGTAAAGCTGGATTTAAAGGTCCAGTGTGTAAGATTTAGGGAAAAGGGAACTATTGGCAGGAATTGAATGTAGAAAAATCCTCATGATGTTTAGTGTGTTTCATGTAAATTGTATGAATTGTAGTTTTCTTTACCCTAGATAAGGCCCTTTATATTTAAATACTTTATATTTACATGGAGGGGACCCTCTCTACGGAGGCTGCCATGTTTTTTACATTAGTCCAGACTGAACAAACTAAACACCTTTTGAGTTTTTATGACAACTGAAGCTACCACAGTTTCTTTTTCATGTTTGGAAGGAGAGGGTGAGGTGAGGGGTGTTCAGCTGCAACATGCAAGTTCAACACTAGATATCACTAGATTCTACACACTGAACCTTTAATCTCAAAACTCTTAATGAATTTAGTTACTCTACAACACTACTACACTGCTTATTAGAAGAATGACATGTGTCCCAGTGATTCATTAGGATGTAACTCTCACTGATAAATGTCTACATGTCTCATCTCTGACATAAAGATACTAATATGTATAAAAAACAGAGATTAACCTCAATCAGTTGTCTCTGTCCAAACAATATGTTTGTATTGTTTGAATTTACAGAGATCTTTCTGGCAAACTTATTTTCTTTTAAATCTCACATTATATACATGTGTTTTCTCCTAGTTCTGATCGTCTATTATAATCAATATTTTTTTACTCATTTATGTATTCCTGGCCTTGTCTGTGCTCTTGCTGTGTGATCTTCAACTTGCTTTTAGGTGCTGTGTAAATTCAAAATTGTTTTTAAATTTGAATAAGATTGTTCCTCTTGAATCCACCAATCGAATCATAACAACAGCTCCCTCTCCTGTGACGTGCTCTGTATGGAAATATCTCCTTAGGGACTCTTTTCTTTTCTTCTTACCTTCTCTTTCCCACATTCAATGCTGTGTTATGTTCTCATTCATTCCCTTTAGTTCGTTTGTCAGTATATCTTGAGAATCACCCTCTAAAGACTCAGTCGATCCTCCATCAACCCATGACTCACAACTGTTTTTTACTTGTTCGTTCACTTTCAACTTCAGCATGTGAGAGTAGTTCTCTGTTGTTTCCCGCTCCACATACAGTCTATGGTTGTGACACATAGATCATGTGAGGAGACATTTAGATAAAGTTCACTTACGGTAACACTGGTGGACGGTTCCCAGCAGAGAGTGACACACAGACACTGACAGAGGTGGTGCTTCAGTGATCTTCCCCTTCTTCTTCCTCCTAATCCTCCTCACCTGACTGGACAAGGTTCATTGTTTTCTTATTACATCATCAAGATTTACCTTTGCCAAACATAACCAGGTAAGCCCTGCCAAAATAAGACTTCCTGTTTAACTACCTTCAAAATAAAAGTCACGACCTCTAGAAGAGGTGTCAGTTGTCTGTGATACCTTTAACTGGAAAAGAGTAAATCTGGGGAAGCACCGGGGAACAGCTGGATGAATCACAAAAAGAACCCCTATGAATATAGTATTACTTTAGCTTTTGGTTTTAAAGGCCAATTCATGATAAATTTGACCAGACACTAAAAAGAAAGTCAGCTTCATAAAGGACTGGGTAAATTTTATCCCCCCTGACAAATGTTTAAATGCTGTTTATTATTATTTATTTATCTATTTTTATTTTATTTTTTTCTCAAACATTTGCAATTTTAAAAGTCACAAATACTGCAACCTGCCTGCAAAAGTCCTCATGCAAGTTTCAGTTTAATAATAACTTAACATTAACTTTTCCTCAGGTTCACAAAACCAATGACTTTTAGTTACTATACTAAAGTACTATAGTATGTACTAGTAGTAATTGCTGTTCAGAAGAATATTGTAAACCTGTGTTTTTCTAGCCACTTGGAGGCAGTGCAACAAACTGCAAACATATATTATTACTATATAACACATCCAGGGCTTGAAGAGCAATGTCAGAATTCATTTGTAAATGTGTGTCTGTCCACCTGAAGAATAAATATTCCCTCTTCTTTTATCTCTGGTTTGTTCTCCACCAGCTCACTGGGGAATCTGTGTCTTTAGCTGTGAATTGCTCTGTGTTGAAAGCAGTTGCCTTGTTTATTTAAAAAAAAAGTTTGCTGCAAACAGAGAAAACCAAAAAGATAAGCTGAGACACCTAAATGCTCTGTAGAGAAATACAGATTTACTCTCTGTTGGTTAACAATCATTTGACCCATATTCCTGCTCAGTGAGGCCGTACACAACAATGGTCTTCATGCTGCTGTTAGATTACAAACATGCTGACAGAGTTTTTGTATGCTGATGAAGGTATAAATAGTACAATGATTGAATATCTTAGCATGCTATTTGCAAATTAGCATTGAATGTGAAGTTTACTTGAAGAGAAGGGGAAACCATTACATAGCTGTTACTTGGTAGTGGAAGTGGTCTTTCTGTGTGGAGTTTGCATGTTCTCCCCATGTATATATAGGGTTTCCTCAGGTACTCCAGTTTCCTTCACCCATCCAAAGACATGCAGATTGTGGTTGGGTTATGCTGAGAAAATAAATGAAATGTAGATGTGATTGTGAGCATTTCTGTTTAATATGTCATAATAAGGGTAGCTGTGCAAACCTGTGTGTGTGAGTGTGTTGCATAAGGCCTTCAGGGTTGGCATTCTGCATGGAAAAAATAGACTAACATCAAGGCAGCGGAGTCCTGTGGGTGGCAGAGTATCTTCCATGCCATCCGTCCACTTAGAGGAGCAGCAGTTTTTGCCCTCAGGGTCACCCCCTGACAGCTGATCAGAGGGGTGGCAGCTCCTTCTGCTTCAGACTGCTTATGTAACTCGGAGTATGGAAGTTGTCCTCTCTCTCATACTGGGAGTGTCTTTGTCTTATCCAAGAGAATACAGTTAAATTGTTGTCCTCTCTGTTGGCAGTTTTTACTATGTACGGCTCAATACTTTATTCATACGATTTTGTTGTGTTGTTAAACACGTTATCTGCTTGCTGACCTTGGAAGTCGGAACTAAACTGATTTTACTGAGGTTATGTTTTGACCCTGTTTGTTTGGAAGCAAGATTACACAAAAACTGCTGGACGGATATTTAAGAAACTTGGTAGAAGGATGTGATATGGGTCAGGGAGGAATCCATTCAATTTTGATGTGGATCAAGTGACAGGATCCAGGACTTTTTTTCTGTGTCTTCAACATTGAGAAATCATACAAAGTCCTTGCAGGCTTCCGTTTTGGTCATACAAAATGCAGACAAGCCGTGGCAGTATTAAGTGACCACAATGGCTGGGGCTGTAGCTCAGAGGGAACTAGAAGGTAACATAAAATCATTGCAAAGAAACACAAAAGTAATCCTCAAAAATATTTGCATCATGATCCTTCCGGGGCAGTAAGATATTTAGAAATTTTCACTGCTTTCCCCAGGAATAATTTATGGATCTTGATTTAAAATATCACATTTTGGAACAGATATCTGTGAGCCTGTGAAAATTGGTGCAGGACTGTTGGGCCTTAGCAGTGGTATAAGCTCCACTGAGTAGAATTTTAGTGAGGCAGATTAAATAATAGCTCACCATTATCATGTCGTTGTTACATTACGATTGTGCACAGATAGAAATATACAGCATATATAATAATGATAAAATACAGAAGTCCTATGATGTCTCTTGAGTGATATAACCATCTACTAATCCTATCTTAATTTTAACTGTATGAACTTAAGAGTGATATCTCTTCATATATCTCTTGGCAAAAAAAAAAGCCAATCAGCCCATTCCCCAAAATACTGAACAATTACTTGATAGATGATACTGACTCATTGTCATAATAGCAAATTCTTTAGTTTCATTACGTCTTGTCTGGAGAGCTTTATAAACTTCCATTCATGGGAAGTAAAAATGAAAACAAATGGTAAAACTATATGACAAGACTGCGGCTAAGACAGTGTATCAACAGCTGTTATCTAGACAACATATGTTGACACAGATATTACGTAAGCATGGAGAAGAGATTGTATAAATCACTGAACAAAGTAGAGGAGCTTCAGAATTCTGTCTTGACACTGTGTGAAAGTCTGTATGTTAGACTCTATTTATAACAGCTCCTCGTGTATTCAAGGACATGCGTGATGCTTTATTACTTTCGTAGCTCTTAATGTGACGAGTTCAAAACTGCTCACAAAGGGCTACTCGTCATAATGGTTGTAATTCTGGTGTAAATATTGAACACAGCTATTGGTTTAAGAGTCTTCGTCTACTTCCACTTTTAGACGTCATGTAGTGAATTGTTGCAGTTATTTATATGTTTGTTGTATCTTATACCACCATTCTGTACCAGTGTGTTTGCTGGTTTGCACTATGTGCTTGCTCTGACCTTGAACCCCTCCCTCCACCCTGAGACACACATACATACATACACATGCACACACACACACCACGCCCTGTCCACCAGCCCCCATATCGCGGTCTCTTTGCACTTGATCACCCAGTTGGGGCTCTCTGAACTTTGTGTGTGTGTGTGTGTGTGTGTGTGTGTGTGTGTGTGTGTGCTTTGCTGTGAATAACTTCCAGGCATGCAGCCAGGAACTGTCATCTGCTGGTGCAACACTATCCATCCTGTCAATCTTGTTTTATAATTGTAACATTCTCATATTCTCTTGCTGAGCAGAGAGAAGTTTCCAACACAGTGAGATACGCACACACGCACGTACGCACACACACACACACACACACACAAACACACTAATAATATAAAACAATGAATAATCTCTTTGTGTTTCTTTTTCCTCTACCTGTGGTTTTTAGCTCTATACTTTTTAATTCTAGATTTGCAGAGGTGATGTTTAGCTTTGCAATAAACAGGTGTAATATGAATTCATCAAAGACTTGTGGCCCAAACTAACATAAAAGAGAGACTTAAATTATTAACACAACAAAATGTGTTGTTGTTTTACTTGAGGTTATTCAAAACTATCTACTACTAAAAAGCCAAATTGTAATATTTGATGGTGTAATCTCAAGTCTTTCTTTTAACCTCTAAGCCAAAATGAAAACAGTGAAATTATTCTTTTAAGATATGAAATATGATATTAGTCGTTGAAGTGGCAAATTCCAGTTAAAACCCAGGGAGACAACAGTGACGGCCATTAAATGCCCCAGAACAAATTGGTTTCCACCATGCCTTCCTCTCGCACTCTTCAGAATGATAAGTTAGCGGGCTAACCATTCACTTATGAATTTAATCCTGCGGGGACTAAGAGCTCAAGACGATGATGCGGGGCGCACAGCTATCACAGGGATAGCTTGAGCAATGACGTCTGCCAACTCATTTATCACCAGACTCCCTCTTAGTGAGCGAGACCAGATCAAATTACAGAGGTTTCTATGGGCTCAACAATAGCCTGCTATAAATACACTCAGAGGGTTTTCCACACTCGACAACACACCCACACACGTATCAGCACTGTTGCACAAATATACTGTATGTGTACAAGTTTTCGGATAAACATGAGACTTTGTTCATTATTTCCACCTTTAAATACCACACTGACTTAGACACATGCATTGTTTTGTTTTTAGCATTCTACACTGTGCTGAGCAGATGAATATCAGCAGAACAATATGAGCCTGGTGTGGGTGTGTGTGCATCATCAGCGTATAGAGGGGATTGGAGAGCGAAGAATCACAGGGGCCCACACAGAGCATTAAACAGCTTCATAAAGTTATTTACAGCTCAGTCCATCAATAAACGACAGGTGCAGCATCCTCACAAACAAACCTATTAGCTTTCCTCCTGCTGGAACAATATCCTCTCCACAAATCAGCTGCTCGCTCTCTGTCTCCCTGCCACACACACACACACACAACTCTGTAAACTCTAACATGACATGAAATTCTCATGGTTACACATGAGACTCATTTGATGTAGTGATTCTATAGACTAAATTTAAATACAAGGAAGTATACAGTGGTTTTGCTGCACAAAAAAATGTCATTTTAAAATGAAACACTATTTTGTATTATATTTACCATACTAGACATTATGAGCAATGCACGTTTTGTTCAAGTGAAGATTTTTGTGTTTATTCAATCAAAATTGCAACCAACGATCCACTGAAATGAATATGGACACCCTGCAGTAATCTGAAGTTTGGCTCAAAACGTATAAATTAAAACTTTTTTTTTTTTTTGAAAAGCTCAACACAATGATATATTAGTAGTTTGGTGAGAACGAGTCTATTGCAGAATGATTTCCTCTGTTAGTGTTGAATATGACTGGATTATTTTTAGCCATGCTAGCAGCTCTTAAGATGGTTGTGCAGACAGTCACATGTCCACCACTTCAGTCCAGAC